GTCTGGGTGCAGTAGAGCACCGATGAAACATACAACTTCCCTACAGTTATTTCATGCTTCCTTCACCCACTATCATGACCTCAATTTTACCTTACAAATCGGATTAGACCAGCACATGCACACTGCTACAGACAAGAGCCCGCAACACAGGGAATCCAATATAGACGAACCCCTCGGGGCCAACAAGGAGAGTAGAGATACAAGGAGGATTAGTGGAGGGTGGGTAGAGAAATGGGAACTTGATCACAAGGATCAACCTAGAACCCCATCTCAGGGGGACGAACAATGGAAAAGTGAGTGAGGGGTGATGGAGGATGATGTAAGATATGTAAATAATAATCTATAACTTATCAAGGGTTCGTAAGGGGGGCTAGCAGGGGGGAGTGGAACGGGGAAGAAATGGGGATCTGATATCAGGGGCTCAAGTGCAAAGAGAATGCTTTAAAAATGATGATGGCAGCATAGGTGCAAATGTGATTGACACACTGGATGAATGTATGGATTATGATAAGAGATGTGAGAGCCCCCGATAAAAGTATTTAATTTTTAAAAAACTAAGGGTGAAAACAATGACCCTAAACCTTTGAACATGCCTTCATGAACAAAGGGAAACAATATGGCATGGATTGACCCTACATGATCTTGACATTAATAATTAATGTGCACAGACATGTTAGCTTGGAGTGCCATTAGGGTGTTTTGTTTTGTTTTGTTTTGTTTTCCCTCCGGTCCAAATATGTAAGCTACCCCATAAATCAGGGATGGCCAAAATAAAATTCCAGATACCACTTTCCAGTGGCAGAAATATATCATTGTGCAATAGTTTTCTCCTTGGCAAACAGGAAAAACAAACAGAGCACACAAACTTAAAACATTAGTTGCCTGTCAAATGGAATCCGATAGCTGATTTTTGGGGACGTAAATTTCCATGGCAGCGTAGTTGTAGGCAACGTTGGCAATTCGAAACTACCAGCTGCACCCTGGGGGCAGTTCTACCCTGACCTATAGGGTCACTATGAGTCGGCATGGACTCAATGGCAGTGAGAGTGTTAGGACTGACCATAGAATAGGTTTTAACTCATAGCGACCTTTTATAAACGGAATGAAACATGGTCTGACAAATAGTAGTTGCCAGTGATTGAGCACTGATTCTATTTCAAGGGTCCCTGGTGGTGCAGTGGGTTAAGTGTTGAGCTTCGAGCCACCAGCCTCAGAGAGGGAGAAAGATGAGGTTGTCTGCGCCCATAAAGATCCTCAGTCTCAGAAAGCATAAGAAACAATTCTACTCTTTCCTACCTGCTCCTTATGAGACAGAATCAACTGGTCCTGTGTTTGATTATTCTATTTCAGGAGGTGCCTGCGTGCAAATGCTTTGTGATCACCTATTAACAGAACTGGTTGACAGTTTGGACCCACCCAGCTGCACGGTGGGGGAAAACTCCAGTGGAGTGTTTCCATAAAGATGGCAGCCAAGAACACGCTACGGAGCATTCTACTTTGTAACACGAAGAGTCGCCCTGAGTTGGAATTGACGCAAGGAAAAAGGATTTGGTTTGGGCTTTTTATTACATTCTAAGGACTGGCCTCCATTTTTACATGGTCATAGGGGGAAAATCATATGGAAGGATGGAAGGCACCTTTCAATGATGCAAAGAGAGCTAGAAGTCTTTGATTCCAAAGAGCCCGCGCTACATCTTAAGATGTATTTTATTGGGTGTGCTTTTGTTCCCCTGCAGATTCCTGAACACTGGTGGTGGCATAGAACCCTCGCACCTTTGCCTAGACCTTTATTGCTCCTCCTGGGGCTTCTGGGCTGTAATTGAGAAGTTCTGTAACACACACTTCTCTGTCTTCAGCTCAGAATGTCTCATTCCAGCTTGTCAAAATGAAGAGCGAAAAGGAGAAGGAAAGCCATGCTAGAACAGAAAGAAAAGAGCAAAAGAAAGAAGGGAGAGGAGCTAAAATCTCAGCTCTGGGTCTTGCAAAAATCTCCAGATATCCCGGGATCTTAACATGCGCCGTTTGAAAAGTAGTTCATGAACAACACAAATTCGCATTCCTATGGTTATAATGTGTGCTTTTTCAGCAATCCCCAAATTCTCAGGTTGTTTAAGTTTCCTATGAGTCTTACAGAGTGAATTCCTGTACTTGGCCCTGTATCTGATCAAAGTGGGATCCATGTCTCCAGAGTGCTTGCTCAGTGTTGCCAGTGCTTGTCCCAAGCCTAGGCCTGATGAGACAAGCACATTCATATGTTGTTTATACCCAGCACCCCAGCTCCCAGCTGCTTGGGACTTTCTATTTAATCTCAGCTCTTCTGAGAGAACATACGCTCACCTTGGTCAGATCCTCCCAACTGCTCAAGGAAACTGGAACCCCAGAGTTTTATGAAGAAGCTTCTTGATTTAAAAAAAATTTTTTTTTTTTTTTGGAAACTGAATGTGAAAAACAGGTCAAAATATGTGTGACTCACATTCTGAGGCAAACAAAATAAGTTGTCCCGCTCACATAGAACTAGCGGGACTTATACACTCAAGAGTGTTGATGGTTCGTGCTCAAACTACCTCCCGGCGCAGCCACCTTGAGCAGGCTCCAAAGAGTTTGAGGCTAACGTGCCACAGAGGTAAGTCGCTCGTTGCTTCAGATGCACTTCCCCGTCTTTGCTGACATCTCCTGAGGCAAGCACGAGACAAACTTATTCATGACTCCCTCTTCGTTGACAGTGTCTCACGCTATTTGGGCATTCCCAACCATTTCCCAGAATGTGAGCTTTTGCAGGGTCAGTTGAAATGACCCCTTTTCCGGTCAATAGCTCCAGCGTCACATCTTTTTCCTCGTGATCATTAAAACCCAACCTTCCTCATACCCTGCATGGATCTGACTATGGCATCTCTAATGAGGACTGCGAGGTCTTCAAGAAGACAGCGGCTCAGATTTGAAATGGGGTCAATGCATCGTTGCACTTGCAGTAGTGTGGGGTGGGCTCGTTGGTAAGGTCCTCTTGATCATCTCACAGCTTTCGTAACTGACAAAAGAAAAGGAAGTGTTGATTGGGTAGCTTTATTGGGAGTGTAGGTTTGCTCTGGACCTGTGTGGCTTCTGAATTTAAATCCTGTCTACTTTGTATAGGTTTAAAAGACAAATGAGTTCTGTTTCTAAATCTTTCCTTAAGTCAAAGTTGTACATTATCTACTGTCAGTTAGTCAAGTGTTTGTCTTACCCTGTTTCCCTGAAAGTAAGACATCCCCCGAAAATAAGACCTACCTCTCGCTGAAATATGAGACATTCCCAAAAAAATAAGACCTCCCCCAAAATAAAGGTTTGGATTGTTATGATGATGTTCCAGAAGATGATGACATGACTGTCATTGAATAAATGAGTAATTGTATCATAGATTGTCATTCATGGAAATAATGGTAGTAACAAGAAATTCTTGATACCATAGGATTCACAGTTTGTCTGGCTATGCTGGTTTGTGATGACAACTACTACCGTACCGTATACAGGTAATCAATTTCCTTTTTTGGTTGCTCAACAATGAATGTGTACCGTATTCTTCTTCATGCAAAAATAAGATATCCCCTGAAAATAAGACCTAGCGCATCTTTGGGAGCAAAAATTAATATAAGACACTGTCTTATTTTCAGGGAAACAGGGTAGTATAAAGTATGCATGTACCTTTCTGCACATAAAAACAAAGAAACACTTCCAGAAACTAAAACACCTTTAGCATATTAATAATGATAATAATCACAATGTCCTAAAAGAGGAAGGCCTTCAACAAGATGGGTTGACTCAGTGGCTGCCACAATGGGCTCACACACAACAATTGTGAGGAAGGTGTAGGCCCACTCTATTCGGTTGTACAGAGGGTCACTACGAGGTAGTACCAACTCGGTGGCACCTGACAACAATCATAATTCTGTGTGTGTGTGCATTAATCAAAAGCCTTTAATAAGAAAGCAAAGAGACAATCTACAGTATGCGAGAAATATTTTATAATCACATATTTGATCATCGTTCAATAAAAAGATTAAGATTACTACAACTTAACAATAACAAAATACAAGTGATCCAATTTAAAAATGGGCAAATGACTTAAATTAATCAAAAAAACACATGAGAGATGTTCAGGGTTATTAGTCACTATCAAAACGGAAATCAAAGTCACAGTGAGATACCCATGCCCATCAGGATGACAATTATTAGAAAAATAAGAAGAAAAGTGATTGGAAAGGATTTGGGAATATTGCTCATCCATTGCTGATGAGACTCTAAAAAGGGATATCCGATATGGAAAAAAATTCAACAGTTCCTCCAAAAGTTGAACATAAAATTAGCCTAAAAACCAAACTCGCTGCCATTGAGTCAATTTCAACTGATAGCAAAAACATTTCAAAATAATGCTTTTAATAATTTTATTGGCATATAATTCATAGGTCACACAATTCAATCATCTTAAGAAGAGTCGTGCAGGATCACTGTCCCCACCATCCACTTTAGAACAATTATAATGTGTGGATGTGCGTTGCAAATTGCACCCCTTTGTGATTCTTATGGGCGGTTGTATGTCGGACCTGGAACTAACCGGCTTTCCGGAGGCTGATCTCCCCCCCCCCCAGGCTGATCTTAACTACAAGTTATGCATCTGTCAGACACTCATAACCCAAGGACGGCCTGTACTTTTACAAGGCCCACAAACATTGCCCTTCACAAACACTTTCGTGGCTCCAGCAACAACATGGGTAAAGGTAGGGAAAGGGCGTCACTCTGCACAAGGAAGAGCTAGAAGGGGGTGTGTCCTGTGGAAAGAGACCTTGTTGTCGAGTCGTGACAGGAGGGGAGGCACCATTCAGCATGGCTGGGCCAACCATCAGCACACCAGGAGGCCAACGGTGATGTGCACAGGCGTGACTTGGAAAGTGATGAGGCTAGGTTAGCAGCCTGATGATTTTCATTGGTATTGTGGTGGCTGTAGTCCCTTTTAAACTCTGGTTTCTTTAAAAGATAAATGGGATGAGGGCTTTCCTAGATCTGGGGTAATCCTTAAAAACCTTGAGGTAGAACCTAAAAGAGAGAAAAGCATGGGTGAGGAGCTGAGATTTCACGTCTGAGATCCTGTGACAAGCCAACCTCCACTTACTTGAGTCATTTGTCCATTTTGTTTCTCCTTGCTGCAATGTAGCTTTTATCATGTTTCAAGTTTCTTAGTTCTCTGGTGAATATATAGGGAGTGAAATAACCAAAGAGTCTCTGCCCTTTGGAATTGAGCCGGGGAATGCACAGCAGACCCCAGGACCACACCAAGGTCGACCCCAAACGCCTGAGAGTTCCCCAGGAAAATATCCTTTTATGAAGCGTGGGCATGCCAAGAAAATGTTGCTGTAGCTTTATGAAAGCTGTCTTTCTTTAGTTACCTTAGTCCTGTTCACGAAATAAAACTGGCAGTGTGCCGGTTAGAGTCAAGACGATGAAGTACTTTATGGTCTGAATTGGGAGACAACTCTAAAAGAAGATGCCTTCTGGGGCCAACTGACGGAATAGAATACGACACATTCGGGGCCTGTTGTTGTTGCCCCAGATGGAAATTTCTGGTGGAATTGCTGCCTCCCTGACCTGCAATTCTCACCCGACCTCCAGCCACCCCCTTCTTCTCCAGGTCCAGCTCTGGTGGGCACTGAGAACCAGGACCCTTACTCGCTTACGAACTAAGGACCCCTTCTTCCACCCTTCCCCACCACATGCAGTGGAGAAGCCATGGGAGAGCTGTGGTTTCAATCATTTCTGACAGGCCTGGGTTGCTGGGTCAAGCCTACGCTGAAGAATAAGAACCTTCTACTCTGAGTTTAACCTTCAAGCTATAAAACCAGCTGTTAGGCTGAAACACTTTGATTACAGTAAAGGGGTCTCTTGGGCTTTAATTCTACGTCTGCTCCCCTGTTTTGGAAAGCCATTTTAGGGGGTGGCAAAAAAAAAACACCAAACACAACTCAGTCATCGAGTCCATACGACTCATAGTGACCCTGTAGAAGAGGGTAACTGCCCGTGGGAGTTCCCGAGACTAACTCTTTGTGCAAGTGGGAAGCCTCATCTTTCTCCCACGGAGCAACACCTTGCCGGTGGTTCTGAACCCCTGACCTTACAGTTAGTGGCCCAATGTGTAATGACTATGCTCCCAGGGTTCCACTGTAGAGAAGAGATCTGAGATTCACGATAAAACACTTAGTATGTGGGCTTTCCCTTCCAAGCATTCTTCAAACCATAAAACTCAACGGTCATCCAGTCAGTTCCGACTCACAGAAACCCTACAGGACACAGTAGAACTGCCCGCCTTTGGATTTCTGCGGCTGTCCATCTTTCTGGTGTTTGAAAGCCTCATCTTTCTCCCTCAGAGTCTCTGATGGACGAGTTAGGAAAGAGGTAGTTCAGGCTATTGGAGGGAAGGAGGTGCAACCCTGTAATTCTAGCATCTCCCAGCAGATGGTGCAGTCCTGAAATCACACCGCACAACCCACTGCTTACCCTACCTTCCCAGAAAGCCAAACTGGCTATGATTTACTGAGTGGGGGAGGAAAGAAGAAGATTAAAATAAAGTCCTGGTATTACATAGGTTCCAGGGAAGATAATCCTTCTGGAATTTCCTGAGCTCTGTGATTACCGGAATTGTTAGTACCACACCTGGAATGAAAAATAGCAGCCCAAAATAGCAACTGCGCGGCTAGTGCTTTGCCCCGCAGTTCTCAGCTCAGGTCTTGCTTCAGAAACAGCCATGAAGCTTAATGACCACTGGCCGTGGTCCTCACCCAGGGACCCACTGTGAGAAATGCAGCCAAGGGAAATGATTGAAAAACAATGAAATGAAAAAAGTTTTACTTGTTCACCTTAACCGTTATGTCAACCAGTATCCAATTCCGGGTAAGCCCACAAAGAAACCACCAAACCTGGGCCCACTGACTGTATGTGGGCACACTGCTTCCCAGAAACACACACATGCCTCTGTATGTGTACATAGGCTGACTCTTGCTCTTTGAAATTCAAAAAGAAAAAAGCGAACCTGTTCCTACTGTTAACCCGATAAATTACAACTTCCCTGACAGCCTACAAAAATCAGAATTTGCCCATATAAATTATTCTGTCTACTTGACCAGAATTAATAGTTGTGTTTTTTTTAATCGTAGGTTTTGAAATCTGATTCCATGGGCTTGGGGGCAAAAAAATCTATATAGCAGTCACTCCCTTGATTGAAACATTTACCTGTGATGGTGAAAAGCTCGTAGCCCAAGGAAGCAGAATGAGAAAACGGCAAATGCCAGTGCTGGAAGGGACCACGTAGCCAGGGCAAAGCCCATCCACTCAATGATCTCCCCGAGGTAATTGGCTCCCGAGACATATGTGAACAGTCCACCTGCAGTCAGAAGAGGTGAAAATACAACCATCACCTTGAGTCATTTAGACTTCAGAGTGCCCTGTTTTCGTCCAAAGGGTTCTGGTGGTGCTGTGACCTAAGCATTAGTTTGCTAACCACGAGGGCAGGGGTTCAAACCCACCAGCCCCTCCCAAGGATATAGTGAGGGTTTCTGCTCCCCCTTAAAGATTTACACTCAGAAACCCTAAAAGCAGTTCTGCTCTGCCCTACTAGGTCATTCTGCATGACTTCCTGGCAGTGCTTTTTTGTTTTGTTACTTTGTTCCGAGACAAATAAGGCAAGCCAGAATACATGGTGCTGGACTCACCTCCCAGCCCTAGGAGTTTCGTGGAATACTCTCATGAGAAAGAAAACAAAGCAACAACCACCTACTGACCTTGGAACATCCGGGAATCTAGTTGGACCCACTAGTCCAACTGCTTGGTGACTTTCATTCAACTCTCTAACACTAGCTTTGGGAAATTATATATTTTTAAAAGAAATAAGTATATTCTCTATTTGCATTTGGAGCTCTGGTAGTGCTGTTGGGGAAGCTGTGGACTGCTAACTGCAAAGTCAGTAGTTCAAACCCACCAGTCACTCCATGAGAGAAAACAGAGGCTCTCTGCTCTCTGCTCCTCAGAAGCCCTGTATGGGATTGCTATGAGTTGGAATCTGGTCATCAGCAGTGGACTGGATTCCTAGCATTTTCTCTCCCACCTAATCAAGCTTAAAGTGGGGATTAGAAGCTCCAATCTGCAAGAAGCTGGTGAGATTTCTGATTTAAAATATTTCATTTTCCATCCAACTGAATTAAGTGATTTTTAGAAAGACTATTGATATTTCTGCTCTTTAAAATGGTATCTAGAGGAACTGATGCCAGGGGCTTAGGTGGAGAGCAAATGTTTTGAGAATGATGAGGACAATGAATGTACAAATGTGCTTTACACAATTGATGTATGTATGGATTGTGATAAGAATTGTATGTGCCCCTAATCAAATGATTTTTAATTGTATCTAGATAAGAAGCACATTTCTAATGATGTTAAATATATTCACATCCAAGATTTTTTTTAACCCCTGCTAAACTGGGAAAGTTTCACCAGAACATTTTTTTTTTCTTTCTATCATTATACAAAAGAGCTCGATGGGTTAACCACGGAGCTACTAACTGTAAAGGCAATGTTTGACATATGCCAGCTACTCTCCTAGAGAAAGATGAGGCCGCCGACTTCTCTATAAGGATTTGAAGTCTAGGAAACCCTGTGAGACAACTCTACTATGTCACATGATGGTTTGGGGGGGGGGAGGGCTTCCAGACAAGATAGTCTAAGCAGAAGAACTTGATAAACTACCTCTAAAAGACTGGCCAGTGAAAACATTGTGATGAGAAGTGAAGCCTAGTCTGATACACGCCGAGAGCTGGTCCCCTCAGGTTGGAGGGTGCTCAAACTGGGAGCCAGAAAAAGCTGCTTCCTCAAATTAGAGTCAACTTTAACGGCATGAATGGACTAACTCAGGATTTTCATGTATTGATGTGCATGACTTAAAATAAAAAGAAACTGCTGCAAACATCTATTAATAATCAGAAAGTGGAAAGTGTGATGTATGACTCCAGGAAAATTGGAAACCATCAAAAATAAAATGGAATGCATGAAGGCACTAGGCACTAGCACGTTGAAATGGACTGGCAAAGCCATTTTGAATTGGGTATCCATAGGATTGACTATGCTCAGAATGACAAATAGACAAGAAATGGAATCGCATTCGTGGTAAAACATTTCAAGGTCTATCTTGAAGTACAATGCTGTCAGGTATAGGATAATATCCATACGCCTCGAAGGAGGATAAGCTACTATGACTGTTATTCAAATTTACACAGCAACCACTAAAGCCAAAGATGAAGAAATTGAAGGCTTTCATCAACTTCACCAATTCTAATAGATCAAACATGCCATCAAGATCCATTAATAATAACTAGTGACTGCAGGGGACAGGGAGCACTAGAACTGATTGTGATTCCACAACTCATTTTAAAAGCGATTTAACTAATGGTGGGGGGGGATGTTCTGAATTAATTGTGGTGATGATTGTACAATTCTTCTTGAAATGATTGAACGATTGAACTATTAAATGGTATGAAATGTGGACTAGGTGCCAATAAAACTGTTGAAAAATAATGTTATATTTTTTAAACTAAATAAATAACTAATGACTAAAATACAATTGAAACTAAAAAAAAAGCATCAGTAGTTGGAAAATATGGCCTTGGTTATAGAACTGACACCAGAGATCGCACGATACAAATGTTCAAAACCAATAACTTTTTCATTGCAAATATTTTTTTTTCCCAGCAGAATAAATGGCAGTGACATCGATGGGCCTCACCAGATAAAATACTACGAAGCAAACTGACGATATGGAAAGACAAAAAGAGCCCTCGTGGTGCGGTGATTACTTATTGGGATGCTAACCACAAGGTCAGCCAATCAAAACCACCAGGGTCTCTGTGGAAGAAAGAGGAAGCCTTTTGAACGCATACAGGGTTCATTTCAGAAACCCACCGGGGCAGTTCTACCATGTCCTAGAAGATCACCATGAGTTGGGATAGACCCAATGGCAGTGAGTTTGGTTTGTTTTTGGCGAGGAGAGAGATGATGAACAAGCTCAATGTTAACAAGACCACGTGGAACAGACCATCAATTGCTCATATACAAATACAAATAAAAAGGAAGAATGGGAATCAGGAGGATCGAGAGATATTACCTTGTGGAATCCTATAGGTGGTTTCTCCAGGCTTCCTGAGCTGGCGCATAATATAGTCACTATGAATGTTGATTACCATTCCCAAAATAAATATGAAGACACCTTGGTAAAAAAGAGGGGGTGGGGAGTCAAAATTTTACTCAAATTTTGTTTTTCCTACAGCAAATTTTTTTTTCTGAAAATGAAAGGATGTGCATTTCATTTCTAATTCTAAGAATGGTGCGCCACACCCCACTCCAAGAAAATACCTGGTGAGGCAATTAGCCCTGGCCCTAAGTTTGGGTAGAGGGGCCATGATGCTTCATAAACGGAGGCATAAATTACGTAGTTATGTTTCATAGGCAATAGTTAGAAATATGTAGTTAAGCCTAAATGTCAGTAATGGAAGACCTCTAGGGCAGCGGTTCTCAACCTGTGGGTCACGACCCCTTTGGGGCTCAAATGACCCTTTCACAGGGGTTTCCCAATTCATAACAGTAGCAAAATTACAGTGCTGAAGTAGCAACTAAAATAATTTGATGGCTGGGGAGTCACCACAACATGAGGAACTGTATTAAAGGGTCACAGCATTAGGAAGCTTGAGAACCACTGCTCTAGGGAATTTTGAGATGGGAATCAGTGTGTGTCTGTGTGTGTGTATTTAATTTCTCTGCCTGCTATAGAGAAAAGACTAGCATAGGGGTAGAATACAGGAAGAATAGAATCATTTACTAGTGCAGTAGTATGCAGAGAAATGACGCTGGTGAGTGACTTAGAATTCCAGGGGGGATATTAGGTGGAGTGGGAGAAGGGATCAAATATGCTTACCCAAGCCAAATCTTATATCTGTGTGCCAGTTAGAAGGATATTCAGCACAATAAATCAGATGGTGGCCTTGAAGGAATCCATTTCCAAGACAGAAAATAAGGCTTTTGAAAAAGATTTCAACTGGATAAAGCCTCCCTCTAGTGAGCAATGAGTAAATGAATGTCCTGGAAAATATGGAAAGACAGGTTAAAATATATGATACAAATACATTAAAATAATAGTCAAACAACAAGAGGGGAAAGTTTCAAATGGATAACACTTCAACCTAATTTTTAAAAGCAATTTTCCCTTAAAAATGTAGAATGAAAGAACACTGGTTCTAGAGCAAGCATTTATGCTATTGCACTATTATTGACAGTCACCAAGATTTTCTTATTGTGTTGTATCCTCATAGCAGCCTCAAGAAGCAAATACTCTCCTCACTCAGTAGTTAATGCATTTGTTTCTATGGCCCTGGATTGGAGATGAGCTTTACATAAATCTATAAGTGAAATCTACTTTGTATTGGGAGAAATGTAAATCCTGGCTTATCCCAAGTAACAATGGAATGGCATTTTGGTAGCAATCATCCACCATGTGCTTAGAATATGAGGAGTACCCCCCAAATGGAAAAAAAATACCCCAGTGGAAGAGCTTTCATAATTACGCATTGTTCCCCCTGAATGAACATCAAGCAACTCGCTCTGAGTTAGTGCACTCAGTGGCATCACCTGGGAAGGTTCTCTCTGGTCACAGTGAATTTTTCCTAAAGGCAGTTTTGCTCTAACCTTGTTTTCTGTGATGACAAATGTAAGAGAACAGTGTGTGGCTGTGAAATTTTGTTTCCTGCTCAGGAAAAATGCCACAGAAACTGTTGTGATGTTGAACACAGCTTGCAAGGGCAGCGCTACCGGAAAAACTCAAGTGTACCAGTCATTTCCTCGTTTCAAAATAGATGAAATGTTGATTGATGACAAACCTCATTCTAGGCATTTGTCAATCTCCCAAATGGAGGAAAATGTCTACTCATAGTGCATTGGGAGTTCATTCCACCAGGTTAATCAAGCTTTCTATTTAAAGGTTCTGAAAAGATTATGTAACAGTGTGCAACAAAAAGGGCCTGATTTATGGCACACGGAGGACTGGTTTTGCCACCATGACAATGCACCTACTCACACAGCCATCCCTGGCATCCAGTTTTGGGTGAAAAACAGCATGCCTCTGTTGTCCCACACACCTTACTCACCTGACCTCACTCCATGTGACCTCTTTTTGCTTCCACAAACGAAAAGGGACATGAAAGAACAGCTATTTCAAGACGCAGAAGGGGTGAAGAAAAATGAGGGAGGTGCTGTCAGCCATCCAAACAGATGAATTTGAAAAATATTTCTAAGAATGGAATCGTGGATTTGACAAATGTATTAAGTGCAATGAAGAGTACTTCAAAGGTGATCAGGTTGTTTTGTAAAAAAAAAAAAATTAAATACATCGCTTTGAAAATATTTTTTGATTTTTTGGGGGAGTACCCCCTTGTAGGATTTAGTGACTGATATTATAGCATTTTCTAGAGAATAGACAGTAGAATTCCTTGAGAAAGGAGAAAGACCTTTACAAGGTTAGAAATTCTGAATCTAGGGGAATGGAAAATGAATCTCTCAAAAATTATGAATAATCTCAAAATTTAAAATGTCCCAGAACATTATTCTAAATGCTAAATTACTAATATAATATTAATTATATCCCTTTTATACTTTTTCTTTTATAATGCATTATAAAATGTGTACAGAAATCTTCACAGGCATATATGAATAATTATAAAATAAACACCTATATAACCACTAATCAAGTCAAGCAATAAAATACTGCCATCACTCCAGAAGTCTCTGGTGTGTCTCTCCCTCTTCACAAGACCACCATTATCCCACCAGACACAGCTAGTTTATCAATATTAATCATTCCCTTTCATTTCTTCACAGTTTACAATACCCTTATTTGTATGTGTCCCTAAAAATTTTAACTCTTTATAAACTAAATCATTCACACTCTATGATGGTTAAACTATCCTTTAGTTTTTGTTTCTTTAACCCATCATTATATTTGTGAGACTCAAGCATGGTGTTTTGTATACTTGTAGTTCATTCACTTTCACTGCTGTATATTATTATTGTGCTGGTTAGATTTTAGTCACCTTGAACCTGTGTGAAAGGGTAGGGGTGTGGTCCAGCCTGTCAATCAGTTCACACAACCTGAGGATGCTTCCTTAGGGGTGTGTCCTTTTCTATAAGAGAGACGCTGGGAACTTCTTCCTCTCTTGCCCTTTGTTTTCCTCCTTTCTGGGATTCTGTGCCTGCCTCCAGTGATGGTCCCATATGGGCTGTCAACCTGGAGAACTAATGAAGCCCTGCCATATTCCCACTGACCTTAGCTCTAGGGTGCTCAGCGCCCACCAGGATGTAATGTCCCAGCCTCCTGGCTTCACCTTTCCACATCATCAGCTTGCAGCTATGTGGAGTCTAAAGACAACTCTGGCTAACTTTGGACTGATGAACTTGCGTTAGATTTCGCTGGGACACCATCTTGATATAAAATTACATCTTGATATAAAGTTCTTTTTTTTATAAAGTTCTTTCTTATGTGTTATACGAATGTTGCTGGTTTTGTTTGTGTAAACAACCCAGCTTACCACAATTCTCATTGTTGAGTACCCTAAATCTATTTCACTTTGTTGGCTATTTCAGTTGTGAGAACTAGTATAAACACTGCTCAATCTGTTGCCATTGATTTAATTTTGACTCATGATAATGATGGAATTGACATATAGCAGAAATGCTGATAAACTTTCACAGTCAGAAACTATGAGAAAATTAATATCTGTTCTGTTCTTTACAGTCATCCATATGTGATAGAGCAGGTGAGGTAGTCTGCTGACAGTCAAAAATAAAGAGGGGAGTTGTGAGTGAAAGGGAGACCATGTCAAGGAGTCCAGTAAGAAAAGGAATGTTTGGAAACTGATTGTGGTAGCAATTGTACAATTCTGCTTGACGTGATTGAACTATGCGATGATGTGGTGTATGTATTAGCTCCCAATTAATAATAAATTTTAAAATACTAGAAATATAGCATAATGTTAGATGTAGTTTGTGACCATGAGGTCACTCACTATGAGTTAAATTGATTTTAAAAACAGGTTTATTTAAGTCAAAGTGTAGAAATTTTAAAGAATCCAAGAAAACTAAACTTAGATAAAATAAGAAAACGTTTTAAATTAATTGACATTATTTCAACAGTGTTTTAAATACAAATACAGGTACATAAATAATTTTAAAATCCTTTAAGTTATGTGCTAACAATATTACAATGGAGTAGATAGTTGCTGGAGAGAGAGAGAGAGAGAGAGAGAGAGAGAGAGAGAGAGAGAGAGAGAGAAGTGGTTTGTTCATCTTCCTAACTTTTACAGAACTCTTTTAAGAGGCATACAAGAATAATGGCTGAAGGACTCATTATTTGATATAACCAAAAAAACTTTGCTCATCTGATTGGAAGTTGAATTAGCAATATTAACAAAGAGTTGGGTTTCTCTCCATAAAGAAAACGTTCTTTTCTTACTAGCCTGGAAATCTAATTCATTCTCTGAATGATCTGGCTTCCCGGTGGAAAGTGGCTTAGAGTCACCAAATCCCATGGTCTCAGGAAGAGCTTGTGGTCAAGCCTTTCTCATTATGCCATGGCATGTTTTGCTTTGTTCCTCACCCCAACAATCATAAAGTTACTTGTATGGCTTTTTCTATCGCTGTGGGACAGGCATGGCCTAGAGGACCATATGAAACTCCTCCCCCCATGGGGTCATGAAGACATCCAAAAGGATTGTTCAGGCATCGTTGATGTGGACCTTACTGTTTGGTTTGATTGCTTGTAGATATTGCTTGTGTCATTTTTAAATTTATAATTTAATTTTAATTATATAAGATATAATTTTAACTGATAACTTGTTTCTTCAGGACCTATCTACTTGCCTACAATGCTGGATTAAGATTTGCCTTTTGACTTGGTGACTTTTAAATGAATTTGCCTTCCTTGATTTTAAACATGTGTATCACATTCAATAAGGAAGCTATAACATTTAGAGTGACATCCCCCTGCAAAAAAAATTCTTGGTGTGATCTGGGTTGAAAAACTAGAAAGGCTGATAGGGAGTTTTCCCATTTTGTTTTGTGGGGGATTTGGGTGGGTGGGGGGTGTTGTTTTTTAAGAAGGAAAAGAAAAGAATCGTTTCTGAAAGTAGAATGTCTGCTTTACTATCTCTCACATAGTAATAGCTGACTTGAGGGAATGTATTACCTTGTAAAAAGAGAGTGAAAGTGGATTTTGCTTGGATAAAAAGAACAAGAAACAATGTAAGCCTCTAAATTTTTGTGATATTACATCAAATTGAGTAGATTCACTCTGAAAATAGAGAAAGGCTCATGAACCTCCACGAAATTACATGAGTGCTTATATATTCCATAGTAAATGCAAATGATCACAGTAAGCCTGTTTGGCCAGTGTGTTAGTCAAGTTGAGAAAAGATTACAATAGATTCCTCCAACAATTTCTCAATCATCCACTCAGAAATAACGACAGAAAGTTTGGTAACTTAAGATATTGGTTTTTGGTCATTAACTTTGCTTGGTTTTGCGTTATTTTGTGGATTTCCTACTTAAGCCTTTAAGAAAATTATATGCACTTATGTACATATTTCCCTATGACTTCACAATGGCCACACCAAGCTCATCACCGACAGAAAAGCTTTTGCTTTATGGACCCACTGAGGCACTTCAAAAAAATCTCCAATGAACAATAGACTATATCGGACTTATTAAAAGGTCTAATACCCCAAGTCAGAGCCCACCAGCACAAATCAAGATTTCTATAACACTGGAAGATAACGAGGTTCATGAATTGTAATTGATCCAAAATTTGCCGAGTGGACATAAGCAACAAAATTGATGGAGTGATTCCCTAGTTAGCTCTATGTGTGAGAATATTGTTGACATTATAAAGGCATCCTCTGTATCTAAGAAATGACTTTTCTCATTTCTCTCAGATTGTTTAACTTGCGGGTTTAAATATCATGGTCTCAAATGGAAAGGCTCTATTAGCAGATTTAACAGATTTACAGAATAACAATTAGAGACGTTAGGAAGATTTGAGCTATGCCTTTTAAAATAGAATAACAGATTTCATGCTAAGCTCCTTGCTCATATACAACCTGAGCATTTTGCAGCAAGTAGCTGCTGCTAGAGTTATTTAGATACAGACAGACACCTCGTGATACTTCTTGTTATTAGTCTGACACATTATTTTCAAACATTTGGGCTAATATGGTTAATAGCTCTGTTCTGTCTCTGGCTTTATTAGAAGTTGAGATAATCCACTTGGGGACCATTTGCTCCTAAGTGCTTTTTAAGCTTTGAGTCTGATTCAACATATTTAAAGGAACAGACTTCAGAAAAAAAATCAGACTAGTCATTGACTTTAGAGCAAGCCATAAAATCATTAAATCGGGTCTCACAAACAATGCTATGATGTTTCTGTCTAATATTTATAATCCATTTATCACTCCCTTACTTTAAAAACCATTCCTCAGTGGAGGCCTCACTTCAGTTGAGGGGAAAATAAGAAAGGACCAAGCAGTTTCTGTCATATGATATTGTCCTACAGTCACCCTAATTTAATCGACATCTCTATGAAAATCTGTGACCAGAGGAGGTCAGAGGTCAATCTGGTTCTGAGCAAGCAATCGCACATCTCTTGGTGAGTAAACTAGAGACTAACTTGCCTTTAGAGAAAACCCTAACATCACTTAGCATAGAACCCCCATTAAAGATCTGCCCTGTAGAATAGGTATCAGAAGTTCAAAAACAAGCAATCAAATTGACATGAAGGAGCATAGATAAA